ACACACACACACACACACACACACACACACACACACACACACACACAAGCAGCTTTGTTCAGCTTCATTAAACCCTTTTCACTTCTGAAATGGTGAAAAGGGGGTCAAGATCATTAATGGAGACAAGGCCGGCAGATTGTGAAATACAGGCCATGAGCGAGTCTGTCTGGTTGCATAACCTTTTCTTGGACATATTTTCAGAAATGTCCTGGTCAAACTTGGCCAATTATTCAATGATCCTTTGGAGAAAGGAACATGCTGTCCAGTGTGTTTGGTAATCTTCCCAGCAGCCATGTCATAAGTCATGCATTTATTCTTGAAACTGACCCATCGAGATTCCATTAGGCTGAGAGGCGGCCCGATAAGATTTGGAAAAGCACTCAGCATTTTGACATTGGATATCTCCTGCTTTAGCTCTTGCATTCACCCAGTTGTACAGAGTTGGACAGCTTCAATTTCATTTCTAATTCCATGTGATCTTGAATATTTTGAGCATAACTGTTTGGAAGGGCAAACCATGTCGGAGCTTATGTAAAATACCCAGGGAGCGTGCATGTTTGTGAATGTAGATTTGCATTCTAATATATAGCTTTTCTCCACTGTGTTATGAAAATCCACTGACTTTTTGTTACAGCTCGGATCTGCCGTGCTGTCCTCTAGTGGCTGTCCTTTCTTTAAATGCATTTACTCTGCTACCTTCTGCCTCTTTTCTTACATCTACCGTCTTTCCCACTTTGTGTATCGCCTGCCTAGAAGCCCCCAAGGTTGCCCGGGGTGTGCTGTGCCAGTGAAAATTCAATGCCACTGAAACTTTAATTAGCCAGACTGTGTTTCAGTGGCAGGCGGGTGGCAGCATTGTAGAAAAGGTCATGCGACTCTTCTGCAGTCTGCAGCACCCTGGGTTCCCCTCAGGTTTTATTCCCCCCCACATGCCCAGTCCCCCTTCAGCACAAAACACCTCCTTTCCTGGCCGTCAGCCCCATCAGCTCTCCCGGGGAGCCTCTGTGTTAAACATAAATGCTCGCTAAATTTGGCACTGTACGTTTAGGAGAGTAAACTGTGGGTGACTTTCAGTAATGTTAGCCGGCCTAACTGTCGTGCTCTTATGTGTGTACACGGCGTCCTGTATCGACCCTCGTGAGTGCTGGAAGTGAGACGGGTCAAAGATGATTTTTAGGTCGGCGTTTGTAGCGTCGCACACAAAGCAGCTCTTCCCACCCTGGTTCACATCTAGCTCAGAAGCAAACACGCTGCCGCCAAAGTGATGCATTCTTGACACCGAGCCATATCGTAGCTGCTGATTGGAGGCTGCTGAATGCGCCTGAGAGATGCCAGAAAAATAAATGCCTTGTGGTTTTTTACCCCGTTCTTGTGAACTCTAATATTTTATTACCAAGATCCTGTCTTTGAGAGCCAGTAACCTTCATCAAGTTCTCTCTCCCAAAATTATGTTCTCATTTAAAATGCAAAACACAGAGGGATTAAATTTTGTGATTTGCACAAATATATAGACTCATATAATATTCATATTTCCAAAGTGTTTAATTTACTGATTGCTGATTTAAAGACATAACTCTATCTTTGAAGACAACACTGTGAATTACAATATTGCAGAATGACTGTTATCTATGCAGTAAAAACCTATAGTGTGCAAAATGAGGGTTTGGGCATTCAGCAGCAGCGACATGCTTTCTCTATATAGTGACAGCATTGGATCGTTGTTGGTGCCATTTGTAGTTCTGTTTGGTGATACTGGCATTCAAATGGTGACTGTACTCACCAGTGTGTTTATGCAGATGATTAGAGACGGTTACAGATATGATATGATTTCCTTGTTCTTGTGCTCTAAAAACCAAGACTGAAATTGCAGAGACACAAGTATACAGTTAAAAACAACTGAGGATGCAGTTACTGCAGATGCTAAAGCCAACATTTCTTTTCGTTCAGCTACCTCGTTCAACCTTTTTTGTTCCTGGGAGTAAGAATACCAAAGTTCGCACAACGGTTGGAGTTACATGCTGTTAGGTTCGGGTGGGTGCCTAATCTGTTTTATTCAGCTGGCTCGGTGTTGGGTCCACCACAGCCGTCAGCCTAATATATGGGTGTAGGGAAGAGGCCAAAGGAGCGGAGTGGGGATTTGTTGGCTGAACACTCTGATAGTGAGAGGCCTTCCTTTTTTTGCCTGGCTAGCAGAGTGGATGGATAGATGGATGACGAAACTCAGAGAAGGAATAGCTGTTATTGTGAGAAAAATTCTTTGGCCTAGCCACCAATGTTGAGGCAGTAGGCCAACCATAAGCCCAATACCAACCAACCCAACCAACAAAGCAAGCGCATACCCCCCCAAATCACTTTGGGGTAAACCCGTTTAACCAGCATCCACATTTTTCTTGTTTGTGCTCTCCACCCCGGGCGATGATTAGAAATAGACGAAGGAGGTAGCTGAAAGAAAGGAATTTCTTCATGAGGTTCTACACCTGGAATAACAAGTAGAAAACTGGAGGTATTTTACCTGCCAGCCAAACCCTTGAAAACTGTTTTTCCTTGTTTCTTGTCCCCTTTTCTTCCCCTATTTCTCATTTCGGTTCTCCTCACTCAATTTCAGTCCTGGCCGAACAGCTGTGCCCTCAGTTGCAGTGGGTTTCGCATCCGTGGACTGGCCTGATCTCACAAATAGTCAGCCAAATCAAGAGCTAATCACCACCAATTGCTCAAATAACCTTTCTCGTGTGTGCTGAGGGAATGGTGGAGGGAGACCTAGAGAGGGGAAATGGAGGGAGAGAGGCATGAGATATGCTAAGCACGGGAGGTGAGGGGGAGAGAAGGGAGGGGGGTGACCCTGGGACCACCTGTTTTTTATGGAGCAGAGACTCAGGCACTCAATGCCACATTATCCAAAATGACTCTCTGAGGTCCAGTGTTGACATTAGCTGCTTAGCCATCAGAGCTTGCCTGTCCCATGGCTCCATTTCAAAAAACTGACAGAGGGGAGAATAAGTGTGACCAAGGGCTCTGCAGTCCAGCTTCAAAGTCTCAAATTTACCATCACGTCACCCGCAGTACATCTGCATTTAAGCCAGAGAAAAACACTGGCAGATAATATCTTGTTTTTTTATGTTAGGCCAATGAGTAGCAGGAATTTGCATTACAAAAAGAAACTCAAGCATCAAACAACATGGATAGCATTTCAAGGTATGTTGTCACTAGGTTTTATGGACTCTAAAATGTCTATATTTGTATCTGTCTCCTTAATAGTCTGTCTTCT